ACCTACTAAGACTTACCCTGAAAATAAGACCTAATACTATTTTTGGGAATTGCTAAAAGACCTAGAAAATAAGACCTAGTTGTGACCATTCCCAGGGACGGTGGTGGCATAAGGGGGAACTTAATGAGCCCCAGGAGAGAATCAGCGGTGCCAACGAAACCATCGCTAGAGGAAGCGAGGAGGCACCGGAGGGAGCAGATCCGCATAAGCCGATGCTTCCTCTATAGCGCCGACTCCTGTCACAGGCGGAATGATACCAAATGCACTCCGCCTGTGAGGAATCGATAGTGAAAGAGCGCCTTGCTCATTCTGGCCAGCGATTGGTTAGCAAATTGCTCTTGGAAAGGTATGGCGCCCCTGATCACCATATTTTTGTACATGAATACATGTAGACGTTTCTACATGAATAAATGTAAATTGTTGTACATGGTATCCCAGTAACCAACCCACAACTGGCTGGTGAGGATCAGCTAAAAGGGAAGAGGTAGGTCTCAGCTGAAATGATGATGGGGGTGCCTGTTTTTAATTCATGTGCTGTATAGAAGTAATTGTATGGCTCCTGAATTTGGCATTTCATTTTAGTTTGATAATAAGGGTGCACTTACACTTTTTTTTCTTATATATTTTTATTTTTTTAGTATTTTATTCTTTGCAGCATGCCTATTAAGAAAAACAAAGCACATTTTTTTATGTCCCCATTTAACCTCTGCTCGAGGGACATAGCCTTATAAACACGGACAGATAACTCCCAACTTCAAGAGCAGAGTTCTGCTCAAATCTCAGTAATTCCTTTCCTCTAGAACAAGCTCGGAAACAATGTCGGGAACAAAAGTTGCAGACAGTGTCTGTGCATTATCATACGACGCACATTGCTCGGCGTTCACCCGGGACGCCAAGCCGCCTTGTTGAAGAGTTTGAACTGCTGCATCAGACTGATAAGATGTCAAAAGTTAAAATTATTCCGCGTGTGTTGTGTGCCCCGGTCCCAAGGCTCCCCCTACAAAGAGGACACGTCGTTCTCATGCACAAATGCTAACCGAGCTCATGCTATCGGCCTCCATATCTAATGCTCTGATTGTTTGTGCCGACACCTTTGCCTCGATAGGGACGGTCTCAGCCGACCTTGTTTACTGTTGTATCTCCGAAATTCCTTAAAAAGGCATTTTCAATTGTAAAATTAGCCTTTAGGACATGCACCCCGACGTGTTCAACACTGCAGAGATGGCACAATGTTTCCAAAACAAAACGGCCACATTAAAGGCTTCAGATGACAGGATTCATTAAAGGCAAATTCCACCTTTTGCAAATATTAATAAATGTACACACATTGTAAAAAAAAAAAAAAAAGCATTTATGATTTTTTCATAATGGAGCCTGCAAAACATTGCAACCAAAATCAGTGGATCGTGTGTGCAATGCTCTGGCTCCTTCAGACTGCAGGACCGTGTTTCATGTTACCAGTGGCGTCACAAGAGAAGTGCGGGGGTGGTGGCCTGCCCCAGGGTGACACCATTGCAGGGGTGACACCAAAATGACTGTCATTTTGGTGTCACCCCCTCTAAAAAGTCGGGCGCTCGGTCATGGCCCGAAAGCCACACAGTGTCAGGAGAGAGGAGGGGACCTGGCGGCATACATCATCCCGCTGGTTGAATGTCCCCTCCTCTCCCTGCCAGTGTCCATCACCAAGATGGCCACTGGCAGGCAACATTTAGATGGCTGCGCACACGCGATGATGACACAGCGGGGTGTCACCCAGTCTAGAGAATGGATGACACCAAGCCTCGGGACGCCCCTGCATGTTACTACCTAATAATGAGTGTAACATGACACATGAACTAAACGGTGGAATTGGTCTTTTAAATGTTCCTAAACTCAAGAACAAAAATGCACAGGCAAAGAGTACACTGAGTTACAAGCTCAATGGATTTCTGGCAGGATCAACAGGTAACTTTGTGCAGTTATTGAAAATAATTGAAGGCCCCATTCACACTGAATTCATTAGCATCCAATTTTTAACAGATGCCAACAGACGGTAACCCAAAAAATGTATGGGAGTGAATGGGACCAGTTCACACTGCTGCATTGCGTTGTGTTGCTTTGCAATATACAAAAAAAAATTAAATAGGAGTGTGCTTTTTTTTTGTTTCAGCACAACATAACGCAATATGTTAAAATGTATGCAAATGCAATGCAATGCAATGGAACAGAATACAAGTAAAGAAAAAAATGCACATAAGTATGTACACTCAGGACATGTTAATTAAAATA